TTGCTCGCGCGATGATGGGCGTGACAGTGAGACTGGGCTTGGCGCGCCGTCACCCGTACCCCATTGGCTGTTGAACAGGACAAGGGACAGCAATTGGTGGAGATAAAAGCGAGTGATACAAACGATGTGATGCACCTCTCGCTTGCTCAAAGGATAGCAAAAAAACGAGGTGGCGTCCCCCAAGCCTCCCTTCCCCTGACGCGCCCCACCATCCGCAGAGAACAAGACTGCGCTGAGCAATCTTGTTGAGCTTCGACTGTGGTACTTCTCCCTTACCTAACCTCCTTCTTACAATAGGTGTTCTCCTAGACCTAAGGTGGAAACAGGTTGTATGTAGCTGGGACTAAAAGCACCTTTTGTGTCTGTTGTTCTTTTGAAGATTATGAAATCGTTTAGCATCACACAACCGCGTTGAGCTTCAACTATGATGCTGCTCGTAAGTGTTTCGAGCAAATCCGTGAGCCAATGACTAAGGCTATCGACTGTTACCACAAAACTTATGAGAAAACGTACGCTGAAACCTTATTTCATTCCTTTGACCAGTGAATACACAATGATCTGCTTCAGATGCGCCACCGGAGAGCCGCAAATGGTACCGAAAAAGAGATTTCGAGTTCTTCAAATTGGCTTTATACAGTCGTCTCGATAAAATGCTTGACCAAGCCGGTGAGTCCTTTGTTCGAAAGAGGCTTCGAGATGAAAAAGTGCTCCTGAAGCTGATCACCTTCACTCCTCGCAAACGCTCTGCGCTATGTACGTGCGTTGTGCCAAACAAGCCACGAAAGGTCTGAAAGGGTGAAGCACCCAGACTTTATCTGCCTTTTTTGGAATCCGCCTTGCATTCTGCTCCCACTAAGAATCGTAGGGACTTTTGGATGTGATTTGAGGGGGGACTGCCACAGCTTCTGATCATCGGAAGGAAAATATCATGAGAAGAGTAGTTGAAAAAAAAACTCCAAAAAGGAATTGATTGAATTTCAGGTGTTCTCAACCAAGTTCTCGAATTCACGAAAACGTCGAGAAAGTTCACTGGATGTCAAATGCATTGTCTTGCTAAGATTTCACCAGTTGGCTGCCAAGAAAAGAATCAGTGAGTAAAGTCTCTCTACTATGAGTCTCCAAACCTTTACATTACCATTTTCTTCACTTCACTGTACTCATAAACAGAAGTCCAGGATTAGTCAGCACTAAATTTATGTTTTTACTATAGAGCAGAGACTCTTAAGATTATTGTGGTTTCACCAGGGTACATCATCACTGGAGAATCCCATCAGTGAGGGGTCTTACTTGGTACCGTCCATAGCATTCGAGCGCTATTGCATTGCTAGGACCTAGTAGAGCGACCTAGCGCGCCATCCACCTCATACCAAAAAGTCAGAATGCCTTGAAATCGGCCGTAGAGCCAGCGCTACACACGAACCACACACTATGGATCCTCAAAGGCAGGGGCACGATGGCTGGGTTAGGCTGGTTCTGCCAATGTCACTGGTGGAAAGGCTGAGTAAGGTGTGGTCAAACGCCCTCGCGTCGCCCTTTCACCAAAGATGTTGGGAGTAACCACCCGCTCAGCCATGGTGCTCACTGCCTCAATATTGAGCCACAAGCAGTTGAACCGACCTTTCTGTTTCAGTTGTGGGTTGAATGAACCATCAGATGAGGCCATTGTGGAGAGCATGGTGCAATGTTCAATCCAGAATGGAGTCAATACTGAAGCTATCCGAAACCTCTGCCGTTGCCTCGCACAAGCCGGCAACTCGTAAGTTCACTAATATTTCAAGATTGCATGCCTCTACCTTCAATATCAAAAGGTGAACGGCTACCACAGCCATTCATTCTGAGCACTTCAGGGTCGTTTTAACTCATGTGAAATTCTGAAGAGACAATTGTACCCCCTCCCCCCATGAGACGGTCTTTGCCACGTGAGTCGGACTGCAGCTGCGGTAGAGTGCCACTTCTCCGCACAAAAGTGCACGGGAACGGGGCTGAATGGGAGTAATGCTCGCTGGCCGTCTCCATGCTCCATCCTCAATGTGCAGGAGTTGCTCCCATATCAGAAACCCTTTATTCCAGCGAAACACGCACTCAGCGGTAGAGAACAACCAGATCTTAGAGGGCGCAGATAAGCGCTATTGGCTACTGTTGGGCGTAGGCTGACATTGCGACAGCGCAGACGGACTGTACAGACTGCATCCTGGTACCAACCAGTCCCCGTCACCCTGCAGCTTTTTGATTACAGGAGTGGCACGCTGTTGCGGCTGCGCGGACTTATTCTCCCTACGCAAGGCAAGAACCTTGGATCTATGGAGAAGACTGTGCAGTTTGAGTTCCCAGTTAATCATCTGGACCACATTTATAGCTTCATCTGAAATATGCCTCTAATCCAAGCAACCCTATAGCCAATAGCATCAACTCCCCGACCATGGAAAATGCAGAGTGAATTCTCTCACTGTGCCAAAATCATTCTCGTTTATACTCATAGCTCCTGAACGACATGGAGTGCGACGCGTTACTTGGAACGCAGCCAGAAGCAGCTTTTCCAACCAGTTATAGCTATTACTATAAGAATGATCATAACTGCTATTTTATTTCAGGCAAATCGCAAGCGCTTGCGATAAGCTGGTTGTTCAGTGAGTGTCTTGAAAACAGAAGTAATTGAGATGCCAATTCACTGAACATGTTGGTGGCGTAGACGTGTTTTTATATTCTCCTACTGTGCACTATTTTAAAAATGTCTGATAATGATAATAAACAGTTAAATACAAGTGCACCCCCCGCTCGGAAATAATCCAGAAAAAGAGGTAAATGTTGCCCCAAACGTAAAACCTTACACTTCAGTTCACTAGAACAGAATGAGAGTGGTTGGAAGTGGGTGTTTGAATTGACTTGAGAAACTGTAGGTAATCACGTTAGCACGTTGACGAAGAATAGCCGTTGAAAATGAGGGCAAGTCATGCCAGAGAGGGCAAGGAGAAAGATACTGTCGGCCACGATTTCCCCTGCCAAGGAGTTGGCCGTTGAGATGGACGGGTATACAGTCCTCATCATTGCGGACCGGTGGGGCGTGTCAGCCAGAAGGAGTGCGCACACTGTTGAAGCCGTTCTCAGCCTTTTTGTTGCAACGCGTATGCGACAAAAAGTGGTAGAAAACGAGTAATACGAAGGAATAATACAGTAATGCACTTGCCCGCTTCAAAAACTGGTGCAGAACGATTTTGCCGAAACCGCACCAAAGCAGCAGCCTGCCACGCCCCACCGGTCCGCAATGATGAGGACTGTACGATACAGAAGGAAATGAGAGAACACCGCCAAAATTCCAGTAAACGGCAATTTTCCCTTAACCGTCTAGAGAGAGTTACTATGAGGACCAGATGCCAGCATCCCGACGACAAGTTCGGCTTACTGAATGAGATTCTCTAAATGACGCTACCTTACTCCGAATCCACGAGTACGTTCATCTTCTAGGTAGCGTTCCAGACTTGGTAGAGCACGTAGTGCTAAGCTGCACCAAAACTTCAGTTCCTTTATGCATTTTCCCCTGATTTCAATCCCTTCTCTTTGTTTCTCATGTTATCTAATCCTGAGCCTTCCCTTTTTTTCTTTAAACAATCTGAATTTGTGATGTATTTTTTGATACAGAACCACTGTGATGATTGATTGATAAACTGCTGGTTTGAACGCGTTAAACAGCAGTTATCAAACAATAACAGCTTGAAACTTGTAAAAAGCCTTCAGCCTTGCGGTTCACTGCCGATATCGGCTAACCGGCTCATCACGTTGAACGTGTGAGTGCTGTAAGGCTATGGCACAAATAGCCATTGAGCTGAGTGGTCAAAAGTGGCCTCGGTAGCGTAATAGGGAACGCAACTGCCCGGTAAGCAGAAGATGCGGGTTCGAATCCCGTCCGTGGTCCGACTTTTGCCCATAACTCAGCATTCTTGTGATACTGTGATGATTGATTTTATATATCGTTGTTCGACTTTAATTATCCAGACTCAGGATTGCTATTGATGTTTGATGTCTTGCAGTGGTGCGTCATGTTGATCCCGATTGCGAAATTGTTCAATCAATTTCAAGTGCTCAATCAAAAATACACCAAATTTCAAGTGTTTGGCAAGGAAAAACAAGGAGCTCAGGCATCGATTAATGAGAAACAAAGAGAGGGCAGGGGATTTAATTCAGAAAAAAAAAACATAAAAGGGAAACCTGGAATTGGTAGGCACCTGTACCGCTACAAGTCTGAACTGCATGCCTTATGGTTTAGATAGATCCCTTGCCTGTGTACGAGAAAAACGAACAGCAGCAAACTGTCAGTAGCGCACCATCTTTCGTGCACTCAGAAATGCAGAGAAGGCAGCTGGAGAGTTAATGATTTTTGAGTGACCGTTTCATTACTCTACTCGGCGGCTGTCTCAAGCTAGTAGCAACTTCGCGTGCATACGCAGCCGCGCGGCGAAACGGGCCGCTTAGCGGATAGAAGAAGCGAGGACGTGAGACGGCGCAGAAGCGCGTTTGGCTATATGGTTTAGCGTAAGTGACTGGCCTGCGTCAGCGCAGGCAGAGTGTTTAGACAGCACTACTACACTCTAGCCGCGTCCTTGTGCATGTTTGAGCGAAAAAAGTAGCATACTATTGCGCGGCTGCGGACACGCATTTATTTCGCGCGCGAAACGTGGTAAGCTGCACAATTGTTTCTAGAGGAAGGCTACCACAGAGGAAATGAAAACAATGCATCTTTCACAACGTGTATGTACCAAAAAACATCTATGGCAATTTCTCTCTTCCATACAGTAACACTTGCGAGCTGCTCCCCCTCCGCCCTATACTTGCGAGATGCTCCTCCCCCCTTGGGCATGTCGTCGACCTTCAGCACAGGTTCCTGAAAACAATATCCGCCTGTCTGGCGGTCTCTCAAAAAGAAGCGGAGGGAGCGAGCAGCACCTCTTGCTACTACTTGCATTACGATCCGATGCGAGGCGGAGGTGGTAGAGTGGTAAGTGGCACGCCTACTGCACCGGGAGTCGAACCCACGACCACCTTCCGCCCCATCCAGCGAGTCTTTTTCCATCGGGGACGGTAATCGATACCAAATTCGACTGTAGATAGAAGAACATTGACTTGTACATCGCCCGACCCCCTTTTGTATGGGCTAAACCACACACAATAAGCCTAAGATTCTGAAATCAGAATGCCTGCTGCATCTCAAAGAGGGATTGATCAACGGCGAAGGCTTTATCCTTTATTTAGAATGTATGACTCATATACAGAAAGTTCTTCAATGCCCAATGATTCATCCCTTCATTCGCTCAAAGGAATGTAAAATTGAGGCGCAGTTCGGCTTGGTGGGGTCACCGAATGTTGCTGAGCGAACCTTGTAAAGGCCATCTTGTGAAGACCTGTAAGTACTTGTAACCAAAGCGGCTCACTTGTATCGTTTCGCCGCTTCACACGGGTTTACGTGTTAGTTAAAAGGTGCCAGCGAAAGGAACCAGCTAACCTGCAGGATGCCCCTCCGGCGCAGTTCCTGGGGGGGGGGGGGGCATTTTGCACTTTCGCTGCTTCACTACTTCCATTTACAAGTCTCACTCTGGTGAAACCTGTGAACTCTTGTGAAGCTGGAGCAAGCTCGTCGAGCCACCATGGTAAAACCTGTCAACTCTTGTAAGCTCACGAAATGGCTCTCTAGATGGGTCGACACGTCGATGGGAACTAGCAAAAGTGCGAAATGTCTCCCGTCGCCGAACTGCTCCTGCCCCTCGCCCTTGGCCGAGAAGCCCCAAAATTGATTTTGATGAGTAGTGGAGACAAGGGGAGACCAATAGCACGTACACGAGATAACGGCACTCTTCGAACGCTCATTCACCTCAGTGAAAGTGTTATTATCAGCGTTTTGCTGATTCTTTTCAGAATAGACGACGATGAGGTTGAGCAAACAAACCGGTCGGCACATCGATGCCAGTCGTCGTGATCAGGGGGGCAATGCTACGAACGACATCAGGGCTATCAGTGCAGCAGCCGTTGACGTCGCCACTTATTGTACGTGGAGGGAGCAGTTCGCAAAGGGCGCGCTTATCATTTGTGGAAAAGCCATAGGCATCACCTCTGCCAACGCCCTTATTACGCCATATTCGTCTCTGACGCGGGGCTCTATGCTCTCGTAACTTATGGAATCCATAAAGGGAATGGTAGGTGAACCTGGTGCTTTCTACCAGCTTTCAGATTTTCCTTTTTCAGTAATGTTTGTTGTTTTGAGGATATTTTTAATCGATTTTTTTCCATTTATAGTTCTTATTCCTTTTCCTTGCTATCTAGCAGGCTCATTCGTTCCCAAGATGCTGTAGGTAGAATTCCTAGAAAAACGCGCTACCCTCCTGAATCATAAGGGTGCCAAAAATCATAAAGTTTTCGCCATTGATTAGTCCTTTTTTGAATTTGAGGCACGCATTATGCTTCTATTCAAAATCGTGCGGCTTATAGAATGCGATACCACCTATACAATAACCTGCGGGGACCAGCTGTACAGATGTACAGCTTAGTGTTTTTACCCTGACAGATGAATCTACACCAATTTACCGTTTCTTTGGAGCAGAAGGAGGCTCAAAAGCTTGGTCGGTTCGGCAGGAGCGATCAGGAATTTGACTTGCTGACGGCAAGTGGCATGCTTACGACATGCTCTGAGTGGTAACAATGCCGCTCGCCACTCAGGGCATGTCATACGTTAATATCCCCACCGATTGGGAAGGGGGAGGGGGAAGTTGCCCTCGGGAAATGTTTTTGGTTCTTGATTTATCTCAGTTTCTCCTCATTCAAGTGCGCTAGACCTGGCTGGACGACAGTTTCCGTAGGGAAGGAGCAGCTTTCGAAAACTAAAAACTCCGGAAAGTGGTTTGAAGTTAGGAAAATGTGGGAAGATGGTAGATAAGATGGGGGCATGGCGATGGAGCAGTCCAGAGGAAGTTTTGGGTGGAGGTCGCATTTTGCAAAAATTTTCCCCAACGGCAGGGCATGCACATCGTTTCCAATTCCAAAAGGGAAAACACTGGAAAAAGGCACCGAACAAGAGTTGGGTTCGAACCCATACACTTTCTTTCTTCTTGGCAGCCTTTCCATGACGTTTGGTTTCTTTTAGATTCATGTGGGAGCTTGGGTGCTAATGGTTCCGATAGAAGGGTGAAAATTCGATTGGAGCGCTGCTTCTCGGCATGGCTGTGTGCTTCCCTTATCAAATTTTTATTTATTTTTTTGTGCGAAAAATTTTCGATGGAATGTAGGTTCCTTCGCCTTATCAAATTTGTCTGTAGACCATGAAGCGGACGTTGCAAAGTCCGTCAGTCCGTTGATAATGGAACCACACAGCTTTAATGTTCCGGGGGATTTCGTTCTCGCAAAAGGATGTTTAATAGGTTGCTTAGCTTAAAGACAATTCCCGTGGCCAAGTAATCCGTGAAATGCATATGCGCCCTTGGTAGCATGGTCCGCACTCGCAGATAGTTTACCACTTTCGTCAGACGAGCGTGCGAGATAAAGCACTCAGGAATGCGTGAGTACTCTTACTACTTTGACATTTAAAGCTACAAGGCAACGGCTTGCACCTCTAATTCCCGTGCGTGTTGGCTGCAGCTCCATAGGACGATCTCATCTCTTCGTCGGTAAAAATGGTGGCGTGTTGATTTTTGCAATGTCTCTAGTGCTTCTGCTTTCGCTGTTTCGTTTCGGCTACCTTTTTGAGAACAAGCAAGCAGTAGCAGCAGCAAGCTGCGCAAGAGACTATTGCGATGCGTTTTAACGCCGTCTAAGTTCACCAGCGGCGCAGCTCCATTGGTGCAAAAGGTTAATGTGCGTTGCTGACCGTAACCCTAATTTCGTACCCAGAAATAACTTTTCGTGAGTTATTTACTGTTACAAGTTTCGTTCTAGAGTTCCCTTTCCGGTTTTCTAGCATTGAATAGACTCCCATGGGGGAGAGCGTGCTTCTGCCCTTGTTTTATAGATCGCGCATAATACATAACTACTATTTCCGTTATTTGAGACTAGCGGTTGTTCAGTAATCAACCTCCCGCTCCGCTGTACGGCAGTTTTTTTTGTGGAAAAACTGGCCAACATAGTCCAGTCAAGTCAACTCCAAAGCATGCCTTCTCCTGCTCCCTCACACCTAACAGCATGACGTGACAATGTCGCGTTAGAGGGTGCTCAACTGAGATAGAACTAGGGCACGTACAGGGCACATCACTGGTCGGGGATTTTGGTCGACTCTATGCGACCCCCCCCCTTTTTGGGCGTTGGTACGACCCCCGCCCCCCCCCCCCGGCGAGGGACGGGAGAGGTAAAATAGCACATGTGAAACAGGAAAAGCCGCGAGACAATACGACCCCCCTCTACAATCAGATTTTCCCCAACTTCCTGCCCCTTTTTTTCCAAAATTTCCCGAAAACTTCCCTACTTTTTACCAAAAATTTTGCTGTCGAGCGGGGGGCATATAGTACGTGAAACAGGCAAATATGCCCCCCCCTCTTTACAACGTCCTGAAGCCAGAAAAATAAGATCGAAGTAAATTTTTCTCAGTCCAAAAACGACCCCTCCACCCTTCTGACGACCAAATACGACCCCCCCCTATTGGGGATTCTCCAACAACGATGTGCCCTGGGCACATTGCGCCGAAAAATACATAATCATTTTCTAGAAAAATCTCGAATAACGTTATTTGCTGAGGAGTTTCAACGATGACGCGACAGTTCACAATCGATATCAATAACGGTGACTAAACTGATAAGGCGGTTGAGTAATATCTTCTTGCTGACGAACGTGCCCTAATCTGTCCTTTGGAAGGAAGGACGTATTTTTAGTTGAAGGGAATTCAAGTGGGCTGCTGCGAAGAAGAAAAAAAAAACAATAAATCCGGGAATAAGGGACCAACTTACGCGGTAATAGGGATATACGTTTCAATGATGATTAGTTAAGCAGCTGCATAGTAAGGATTAGGTCGAAGTAGTCCAATATAGTAGCGAAGGGATACTGAGAAAAATCCTGTGACATCCTTCAAGGTAGCACTGGATAGAATCAGTAGGGGAATAAAGCTGAGACGTACAATCATTATCATTGAAATCAGTTGGGCGTGTCAGCGATGCAAGAGCTTTGACGCGATGCCAATCTCTTTAAATTGATCGCTTCGGCTTCGGGCATTCAATGGAATGTGAAAAAGGAGCTGGTGCCACGCCATACCCACCGACAGCCGACACCCTTCCCCTGTTCCTGGACTGACTTCGGTAATAGCGACTGTATTGCCTGGTGTCCGCTTGTCTGGGCTCTAATTGAATGCGGCCGTTCAAGTCAAACTTCCAGCTGGGAAAAGTACGTTGACTCGTGTTCTAATCAAGGAAAAACCAGTAATCACGTACTCAGCTAATGAAAGGGGGAGGCGCAATCTCAAACTTCTGCCACCATCCGACTTCCCTTTTTTTGAGTGCAGGTGCCCATGGGTGGCAGATTACTCTCTTCATTTCACCTTTCACTTCATTTTACCTCTCATGTCAGCTGTGCATTGAGTATAATACACTACAGTCCGTATATAGTGTGTAAGTCTGTGTGTAAGCCTCGCCTGTGGGCCTGTGAGGGCTTGTATGTATGTGAATGAGTGTGTATCACGAATTTCATGACTCCCTTCGCGTTAGCGTTTTTGTTCGCTGAGGATGATGGGGCGTGTCAGTGACAGCGCATGTGAAACGCCGATGGCTCGTTCTCCGCCAGTTGGTGGAGCGGGTGAGCGACGAATATTGTTTGAAAACGACCGAAAGGATGTGGTATGGTCTTGTCGCCTTCCAAAGAAAAAAAAGAACCAAAGAAACCGGCTGGCGCCGCGCCAAACGTATCGCCTGACACGCCCCATCATCCCCAGTGAACAATACTGTTCATTGGAGCGTTGGCTCCACGAAGAGGTGCAGGAAATGGCACCAGAACGTCAATGGTGAGTTCCAAAAGGTGATCTTTATTCAATTGTCATTTGTAGACCGCTCTATTATTTGATTACCTTTACCGGATATTGGTTTCATTTAAAGGGGTTTTCATTCAAACCCCGGGAGAAGTTCCGGAGTGTGACGACCTGCCCCTGCGTAACTGAGTTTACGGATCATTTATGCAGAGCCTGCTGACAGTCTTGCCCCTGCTCACCCCTCCCCATCCATTTCGTTCTGAAAAATCCATTTCAACTAGAACTTTCTGTCGTGTTCATTATTTTTAGCACAACTATTTTCAGGATTTTACCTTGTTTGCTGTGACTGTGTCAGCTTTTTCCTATGTGGTTTATAATGCTTTATTCCTCGCAGCTCAACTATGGGAAGCCGTTGCCACGCTTCTTTTGGGTGAGTGATCCTATTTCTCTATTCGTTATTTCTCAATAATTTTTCTTTTTCTATATGCTGTGTGTTTCTCGTCAAATACTCTTCACGCAGTTCTCCACCAATTAAGGTTTGTACTACGTTCTGCTCATTTATGGCTACGTAAAGAGGAAAAAGAGATTGTTTATGATAGGGACGGGCCTACAGGTAAGACACCCTGTTGCAAATTGGACACCGTTCTGCGAATTGATTATCGATTTTCAGGCCGTTGCTACCGTAGTGATATTTGGATTGTTCGTGTTTTTCTTCGTAGAAATATTCGTCTCCCACTCACTTGTATATAAGGTGCTGACGTACATAAGCCAGACGGAAGAGAGCCAAAGAGTCAAAAGTGAGTCATAACGATTTCCTGGAAGTTGACGCTTATTCTTATCAATCTAGTTCACATACTGAACACTTTGAGGGGCGCTGAGCAAGGGCAAGGAATTTCGAGCGTAATTATAGCCTTGTTTGCTGCCTACTCGCTCCAGTAATTGGTGGAGAGCGGGCCTGCGGCGCGCCAAACCCGTCCCTCCTTGACACGCCCCATCGTCCGCAGCGAACAAGATCGCAGGTAGACTTTGTCAGCACCCGACGGGTAGAATCTCTTTTATGTGCCGGAGAGTCCGCAGCAGCGAGGAAAGTATCTCTCTGCCACTCGAATGTGGGTGATCAGCGCTCTAAGTACTTCGGTGTTATCGCGTTTCTTCAGGCGACCTCCGCGCATACTTCTCCGTCATTGCTGTGTGATTTGCCCCTGTTTGTCTTGACGCTCACCCGCGCGCTTCCTGTTTCATCTCCTCTCTCCTCTTCTGCTGGCCCAAAACAAAAGCACAAAGCGAAGAGTGTAGTCAAAGCGTCTTTAGCGGCCACGGTTCCTGTGCTAGCTAGTGAGCCCACTAGCACTTTTTGGCGCACTTCGGCTTGGTGCGGTCACCGAATGGTACCCGAATGAGCCTCTACAGGCCGCCTAGTGAATACCTGGGAATTCCCGTGGCCAAAGTGTTCACCCAAACAACTCCGCAGCTTCACAGTTTACAAGTTTGACCAAAAAGGGGCCTGTTAGTTAACATGACACTAACATGAACTAAAAAAAGTGATTAGCGAAAGTGCAGAATGCCTCCTCCTAGCGAACAGCTCTGTGTCTCTTTTCCAACCGCTTTCATTGCTTTCTGGTAACTTTTTATAGCGAAGAGCCAGATTTTTGAATTTGAGTTCCTTCGTCCGCCCCTCGCCGAATAAGGCCCTCTACATGGCAAATGAGGGTAGCGTCTACTGGCCGCTGTAGCAAACCCAGTTAGCATCACTAGCACCTCAGTTTGCCTGCTACCTCAGAACTTTCTGAAACGGAAATGGTGCAGGGCTGACCATTGCGCTCAACTTCATCTGCCCTAGCAGGAAGCTCTGACTCCAATATTGAGATGTTCTTTTTTTTTTTTATTTTGCCAAGTTTACAACCTAAAACCTTTACTGCCCCAACCATCCAGAATCGAGCCAGTTTTCGACCGACTTTTTTCTCCGTGGTCAGATTTTGCTCCAAATCTTGTCTCCTTGGGGCAGTTTGACCTCCTCTATGCGAATATCGCATTCGCTTAGCCCAAGCTTCTGGCGCCGCGCACAGGACACTGGCTGATTTGTTGGTTATTTTGGCGCCCAGCGCCTGTAGCACAAGGCGCTAGGAGGATGCTGACATTTGGTGTTCAGGAGCAGTACAACCAGCTAGGCACTCTTAATGTGAGTTTGTGTGAGCGCTTTCACTAATGATTGACTCAAATCCAAGCTGTATTGTGAAAGTCGATGACCACTGATAGAGCTTCCCCCCCCCATCCACTCCGGAAATAAGTTTTCAGCGAAGTTGGCGATTTATGGTCTTTGGCGCCGGCGCCTGTGGCGCGCGGGCGCTAAGAGGTTTCGTGCCAAGCGGATGTGATATTCATGTTCAGGAGGTCAAACTACCCCAGGAAACAAATTCAGCCAATTCTGCCAACGCAGAAAAAAGTCGGTCGAAAACTGGTCTCTTTTTGGAAGATTGGGGCAGTAACGAGTAAATAGTGCCAAATTTTCTTTTGGAATCACAATTCACTTTGCGTGGGTTGGAGGGGATCCTTTTCGACCCTCCTGTTGGCACCTGCCTTCTCTTTATCCTTTTACAACTACCCTATATTCTGGAGCATGAAGCTTCAGAAAATGAATCTGCTCCTGAGAATATTTTTTTGTGTGCCCTTGTCTACGTGAGTTACCCATTAATAATTTAATTTAATTTAATTTATTAAGCGCTTCAAAAAGGGGACTTCTTGCAGTCATTCCACTAATTCACATTCTCGAAGCTTCCTTTTCCAGTTGCTCGGTACACTTCAATTGGAATGGCAGTCGATTCGCTTGTAACGGCCGCACTACACACATGGGCTCTAGTCATGTGCATTTTAGAGTGCAGGTAAAAGTACCCTGATCCAAATAAATTCTAATATTTCTTCTGAGCATAGCGTCCCCTTCAACAATTGCTTTCTGGTGCTATTTCTCTATATTTCTATTTTCTTATATTACTTTTCTTTAGTTCTTTTTTCTTTATGGGCACTTTTTTATTTGTTGGAGGCGGGAGGAAGGAGGGGGGAGGACTACTCCACAGCAGTTCTGGCCCACCTTTCGTGGCCAGGGCTTAAGCTGACAGTCAAGACGGTCTGTCGCCATGGCTAGCTCTGGAGTAGCAGACAGTCTTTCTAAAACTCTTACCGTCTGCGCTCTGTGCCTAGGTCTGGCTGGGGAAAACATACCTGCAGAGTGTTCCTCACCAATCCCTCCGCCCCGTCCCACCCCCCAAATACGTTGGCACGCAGAGGTTTAGTCGAATTTTTAGAGAAATGGATCATGAATCTGATGCACCTTTCGAGGCGATGGCTATTCATACAGAACTCGACTTCCCAGAGTAAGATGGTGCCTATTTTTCTGCAATTTTTACTTTTCACTTTTTATATCGTATTTGAGACCAGGTTCAGAAATGAGTAGGTGAAACTTAAGGGAACCACGCACAATACCGCACATCATGTCTCAGAGTGACACAGGTGAACATTCCGTCTCAGAGTGACATCGTGAAGGCGAAAGAGAAAGCTACCGAGACGATTATTGCTCAGTTGGGAGAGGAGCGGTAAGGAGTATTCAGTGTTATCGCTCAGTACTCTTGGCTGCATAAATATAATGCCCACATTCGGGGGGGGGGGTCCATTTACGTAGTTGCGAGCGCGGCGACATCTCCGATAGTTCAGATGGGAGCGAGCCAGAGCACTCCTTATCCCTGAGACGGAGTAGGCGTGGCTTTTGAGCATGGCATAGGACGGGTTACTCGTGGGATACTTCAATTTGAAACAACTGCTATCTTGTTCTGTGTTAGATGTAGACATGATTACGACTTTTCAAAATGAAAATATCCCACGAAAACCTGGGCCACCGTCCCTTTAAAATTACGTACGCAGCCACGCCTACCGCCTATCTCAGGGTATATGTATGTACGAGAAAAGAGAGTCCGCTTGGGCGAAAGCCGCCGTCTGCCTCGCAACTGATGGAAGAAGCCTCCTTTTCCCCCTCTGATATGGATAGTAGATACAGCCCGCGTGAACGCATCTCCCGGAGAAGCGCATGACCTCTTGTCCTAGATTCTCCCTGAACTCCAAGCGGGACGCTTTCAAAAAAATTCACCTCGGAAACTCACCAGTTACCCGAATAACTGCTTGGTTTCTGACACTCCCTTACATGGTATGCGCGAGGTACTATGCTCTGTCATTGCGATGTCCGAACGCAGCTTATCAAGAAATATTTTACTTCGACATAAAAATTTGCCCCTGAAGAGCTGGTATCATGCTGCCGAGGTCCTGTACTTCATCTCACGCCACGTGAACCATTGAG